CGAATTTCGTACCCACCAGTTGTGGATTTTGTTCCCCTAAATCGCTTTGAACCCCGTTGTTGCTCCCTCCAAATTATGTGCCAAGAAAACCATGTTTTGAGAAAGGCCCTGTTTTCAAAAAAAAAAAAAAAATATATATATGGTCTATATAATATAGGAGAACAAATTTGCAGATTCTTGATGCTCCGTTTTATCTGTTAAGCCAATTCCTCTGTTAAACCGACACCCTGCTATGCTAGACAAATCCATTTTTCCATTTCTGTGACCCAACTTGTCTCGGTTCCTGTAAAAAATATCTAATAGGGGTCAACTTGGAAAAATGTGAAATATTATCATTAACACTACGCTGATTGACAATTTTTATTATCTATTGAAAGACACAAAACAGTTGGAGCTGCTAGTGATTTTTAAACATACAGAAAAAGTCAGTAAGATGTACAAAAACGTATTTTTCAGTTGAATTGTGGCCGTTTTAACCATTTTCAGGATTCTGGAGCTCGGTTATCAATTTTCAGATCACTTAAAAAAAAGGAAAGTGTAAACCATACCCAGATTGGAAACTTTCATTAGTTTTTTTTGAAAATCCTAAATTTTCAGCTATTTGCCGATTTTTCAAAAACAACCATTTTTAACTGAAATGGTGAATAAACTTTAAAAATGGCCATAAACTTTAAACTCGTCTATCTCAGTTCCTACAAAAGATATCAAAAAGTAGCCAACTGACAAAACATTTTTAATATTATGATGAACATTTTGTCAGTTTACCTTTTTTCATATCTTTTACAGGAACCGAGGTATGCGGGCTACAAGTTAGCGGTTTGTGTCTCCTTCTATTAGTGTATACGGTAGGTCGGTTTTTCACTCAAAGTGATCGGAAACTTCACAGTTTTGCTCATTTCCGTATTGAAATCGTAAAAAATGAGTGCCTTTCAGAAATGGGCGAAAATCTGAAAATCTAGGAATCTTATTATTATTCTGTAAAAGCAAAGTTTTCAATCTAGGTCTGTTTCACATTCCAAAATTTTCAAAAACTTCAAAGCTAAGTTCCAGACTCTTGAAAATGATATTTTTTGTATAACTTCCTATTTATGAGCAAAATTGGGCTCTTTTCTAGTTTAGAGGTCCCAAAAAAGAATAGAGGTCCGAAAAAAAAATTAGAGGTCCCAAAATAAAATAGAGGTCCCAAAAAAAATTAGAGGTCCCAAAAAAGTTTAGAGGTCCCAAGAAAAAATAGAGGTCCAAAATACGAAAAACGCTTTTATACTTCTAATAGGCTTAGGAATGCATATTTTCTGACAATTATCTAAGCCTGAGAGACAGCATAATCACGGAGTGATTACTGTATTGCCCAAATTTTCCTCATATGTAAATTGGGTTCATCGGCAAGATGCGAGAGAATTGGAGCTAAAATTGTTAGGAGTAGTCATGTCATCCTATAAGACCCTAAAACTCAAACTACTCGCACAGTTCAAATACTATTACATTATTCCAACATCTGCGCGTTTTTCGTATTTTGGACTTCTATTTTTTCTTGGGACCTCTAAACTTTTTTGGGACCTCTAATTTTTTTTGGGACCTTTATTTTATTTTGGGACCTNTAATTTTTTTTGGGACCTCTAAATTTTTTTGGGACCTNTAAACTAGAAAAGAGCCCAAAATTGTATTCTGTAATAACTCCAAACCACAACCCACACATTTCCCATCTTCCCGCTTGTTTTTTTTTCATTTTCCCGCCGTAAAAATTATGCAAATCAATGGTCTTTCGGTCATTCCAGTTCACTAGATTTTTTTTCCTTTTTTCCCTTTTTTCGGGTAACTCACCCTAATCTATTTTCGTATACCTTGTCTCAAAATTCTCCCACCAAAAATCAGGCCTCTAAAAAAGAATATCCTCTTATCCTGTGAAGATGTTGCTCATCCCCCACCGCCCTTTTCCCTCTCATAACTAAGAAACTATTTGCATATTTTTGTTTAAAAAAAAAGCAGCTAGCAGAAAAAAAAACGACACAAAAAGAGAATAGAAAAAAGAAGGGACAAGAAAGTGGGAGGAGCGGTTTGGAAGGGGAATTATTCAGTGTGTTAGTGCTCCTTCAAACGCACTTTCTCACCTCTCTCTCTATCTACTTAGTGCCTTCCCTCTTCGGAGTTTGCTTTTTTTTTGAAACATTCTCTTTTTTCTTGAGAATTTTTTCCCGTTTTTTGTTCGCTAGGTACAGAAAAGGGGTCCGGAAGTGGTCGGGCCTAATTTTGACCGAATTTAGTAGGACCAAAAATGTTTTATTTTCATCCTCTCCAAAAAATCCTGTCAGATTCATGTTCCAAAATTTGTAGGCTCAGTTTTTGGTGACACACACCGACATACAGTAAAACCTGTAATAGAAGGGCCCCCACACTGTGGCCCATACTCCCAGAGGGCATCGAAATGGGGGGGCATCGTGCTCAAAGGGGTCATTTTGAAGTTATCTGTCTGTACCAATATATCCAATTTTCCAAAAATTCTCAAAAATTGTCTGAAAACACCTCCCACCATTCCAAAAGGACCCCTATCAGTTAGTGACGCATATACGTGAATGCCCCATTTGAGCACGATCCCCCTGGGAGCATGGGCCCCAAACTGTCATGTTTGAGAACTATCTCAGTTTCTATGATAGAGTGTTTGTGATATTATGATAAACAATTAAATCAGTTGACACCTTTTTTTTAAATTTTTGACAGGAACTGGCTCAAAGTATGAAGTTAGGGCCCTTCTATTACGGGTTTTATGATAGATCATTTGTTTTATAAAAGTAGCATCCGGATAAACAGACATAAAGACAGACACTATACCATACCCCGTTTTCCTCTTAGATCTGCAAAAAAGTTGTTCAAAGTACATTCCACAAACATTTTTTAATATTCTAAGCTCCGCCCACTTTTTGCATGTTTCGCCTTCCCTTAGACATGATGCATTATTCTATCTTTTGAATTTATTAGTAAAACAAGGCGTTTTTAGAAAATTATAGACATTTGACCTTACTCACTGAATGACCGTAAAACCTGTGAAATGACCCATACTTTTAATTTTGAGCCCCTTTATCTCGGTCCATATCAAAGAAAAAAAAAAGTTGTCAACTGATTTATCAGAATATCAAAAGTATTTTGTCAGTTGACACGTTTCTGGTTTCTTGAATAGGGATTGAGATAATTGAGCAGTAACTTGATAGTGTGGGGGGCCCGTCTATTACAGGTTTACGTGATGTTTTTAAATATTTTCCCGTTGGATACGGAAACCTGTCGATTAGGACCCGTTTGATTAAAAACTGCAACTTCTGAATTAGCCCAGTTACGTCAGTTGCTTCCTTTAAGCTCCGCCCATTTCAGCCAAGCGAAACAAACTCAAAATTTCTATATGATTCGTTGTTTCTCATTAGCCTAGTTTTCAAGATCATACTAAAATCTTTCACCCTTGGTTACCCTATATAATGTGTCACTCATTTTGTATGATCTTTGAGACATTTTGAAATTTTTGGTTCCGTTTTCAAATAAAAGTTCGAAACCCAATAGAAATCTCAAATTCTTCCAAGCGTGTGCAACTTTTTGACGGAATATCCGGAGAGAGAGGGAGAGAGAGAAAAGAGAAACACATAAATAAAATAAGAAAATGATGTCGAAATATATATATATATATACTGACTATGTGAAGGGAGGATATGCATTTGACAGATTGCTATTTTGAAGTGAGTTGAGATATAGGAGAAGAAGCCAAAAAAGAATAAAAAAGAGAAACAACCTAAGGGAATTGGTTTTGAGCCGTTTTTCGTTTTTGGATTTTCCCTGATTCCATTCCGGTAACATGCCGCAACCTGGGCTTGAATGGCAATTTTCGACCAACTTGACAAAAATCAGATTTTTCGTCATTCAAACGCATTTTTCGATGTGATATCGGACAGGAATCCGGCTCTAATAATATAGATATGATGGGCCTTGTCGAGATCTATCATTTGGTATCAAAACTGTCTGAATATCTTGTTTTAGAGACAACTTATCAGCCGGCCCACCACCTGCCCGGGCCGGCCCGGTTGCAACTATGGTCACATTTGAGCTCATATATCTAGTTATCTGTAAAAGATATCAAAAAGTGGTCAACTGACAAAATATTTATTATAATATTTTTACTTTTTAATATGTTTTATAGAAAATGAGATATATGGGCAAAGATTTGAGTGGTCTTCTTTTTTCTCTAATTTCCACTTCTGAAAACCTCATTTTCTTCCCTTTTTCAAATTTGTCATTATTTCCAAACATCAGAGCCGCAACCCACTAAATCGTTTTGTTGCAAATCCTCCCTCCTCCAAATTTTCCCACAAGCTCCACCCAAATACACTAACCACAAAAATCCATGTGTTCTGTTCGTGTTCTCTCTTGAGATCCCATCAAAAGATCTCATGTTTCCGTCACCTTCTTTCGTCTCCCACCAACAACCCCATTTATTTTTTTTTTCTGTGTGAGTCAATCGGTTTCAATCACAACAACTGCTCACCCAGAAGCCGAAGACGGGGGAGACGGGAGAAGGTGAAAAAAGATAAATGTGTTTTTTTTTGTCGCTGTGACATACTGATTCATTGTAATAAGAATCGAGGTATCAGAAACAAATATCATCGAGAAATACTCTAGTGTATATTTTCTTCTCATTTTGATTTAGAAATTCAACTGTATACAGTTACCGTAAACACTCTAATAGAAGACCACCCAAACATTTAATTTTGAACCCGTATATCTCGATTTATGTAAAAGATATCAAAAAGTGGTCAACTGATAAAATAAAATATTTATTTCAAAAAAAATTTATCAGTTGGCAGAATTTTGGTAGCTTGCACAGGAATCTATTTGAGTTCAAAGTTGACAGTTTGGGCGGGCTTGTGTTTGAGGAAATATGGTAAGTGCTATCGGAGTCCCCATTCCTCTCTACCTGCTCCAATTACTCAAAAAGTGTTCAGTATCCTTAACTATCATTTTTCAGAATGGTGTCGATGCGAACACTGACTTGGACATTTATACTAATGCAGCTGGTGATTTCGTGTGCCTGCTTCATCGCCTCCCTTGCAATAATCAGTGCGAAATTCAACTCAGTATCGATGTACGAAGAGAAACAGTATGTTAGGTGAGTGATAACGTTTTCGGAGAATTTGAGAGATTGTATTATCCCAAAAATTACAGTATCCCTAAAACGTTCAGTATCCCCAAAAGTGCAGTATCCAAAAAAGTAGAGTATCTCTTAAAGTAGAGTATCCCAGAAAATACAGTTTTCCAAAAAGAACAGTATTCATAAAAGTACAGTATCCCTAAAACTAATTGGATAGCTTTTCAATTGGGGTGCTTTGAATCTATGGAGAAAAATAGAAGCGTAAGAACCTTATGCATTTGAGCTCAATTATCTCGGTTCCTATGAGAGATCTGAAAAATTTGTCAACTGATCAAAAATTGGTGATATTATGATGCACGTTTTAACAATTGACCACTTCTTCATATCTTTTACAGAAAATGAGATATATATGGCACATAATTCGGAGGGTACAACAATTCGGGGGGTACAAGGGGTACAAAATAATTTAGGGGTACAAAATNCACAATTCGGGGGTACAAACTAGGCTTTTTTTCCGGTGTTTTGTTTCCTCGAATTGATGATTTTGTACCCCTAAATTGCTTTGTACCCCAATGACCCCTAAATTTTTGTACCCTCCGAATTATTTGCCGATATATATGCTCAAACTGCACGTATATCTCTCTCTCTCTCTCTCTCTCTCTCTCTCTCTCTCTCTCTCTCTTCTATTAGAGCTAACACAGTAACATGCCATCCTAAACATCTAGAAATCAAAATAATTGTGGTCAATTCAATCAAAAATTATCTTTTCAGTTTCGAATGGTGGATATTCTGTGGTCTGAGCTTCTCAATGATAATTAATACAGTGGCAGCAATGTACGCGTTGTCAGAGCACAACCGGTTTCTTCTGATTCCTCATATTTTTGTATTGGTGAGTTTTTCTTTATTAATTAATGCAAGATTTTTTATTTTTCAGATTTTGTGCAACACACTCGCCTGTTACGTTTTACATTATACTGTTTCGAACTTTGATTCAACGGATTTTAATTGGCATATTGGTCTGATGACAATTATTTTCACAGGTAAGTCATTTTCAGATCGATTCTATGACTTTTTTAAATTAATTCTATATTTCTAGAAAGTTTCCTCCTCTCGTGTTTGGTTTTCGAAATACGGACGTTGCGATCGATGACCTAGAATCGGGGCTGCTCTCAAATTTCAAATAATAAATTTATAATCACATTTTTGTTTATGTTTTCCAGGTTAGTTCATCTTTTCTTTCTTTTAAAGCGTTTTTTTTGATTTTCAGTGTTAAAAAATGCCCGAGTGTTCCGTTGAATACGGTCTTTACAAAACTCGGACACTGATTTTTCTGGCTGTTCAATGTGCAATCGGCCTGTTTGTTTTAATTGGCGCCGTTCCCTTCTCTATAGACTCTGATATCACGTTTGCGCATAGTGCGATACGGTAAGTGGATTTTGGAATAGACCTTGAGAAAAAAATAACAAAAATAAAAGTTCTGTGAAGAAAGAAAAAATAACTAAAGTAAGATAAATCCTGAAATAAAAGGATCTCTAACTTCGAGTTATTTTTTCTCGGTTCCTGGCAAAGATATCAAAAAGTAGTCAACTGATAAATTATTTGTCATAATATCAGACATGTTTTGTCAGTTGACACGTTTTTGATATAATTCACAGGAAAAGATATACGGTACCGGTCAATAAGATATAAAAGATATACTTAACACAACGTGTTTTTCAGTTGGTTTTTGGCCATTTTTGTAACTTTTGGAAAATTAGCTTACAAAAAATAATTAAGTCATAAAATAGACAAAAATCCTACAATCCTGCCTGAAAATCACATTCCTAGGAACCGAGATAGAGCCGATTCAAGTTTAGGAGGCCAGAGACGCAGACGACGAGACACTCTCTAACCTCTCGAAAACTTCAAATGACCGTATCTCGAGTTCTAGATGAGCTAGAAAGTTGGTTTTTAGACTGAACTGCATGGTTTGAAGCGGGTTTTTTGATTATTTATAAAAACATGTTGATTGGAAAATTAATTTGCGGTAATTGTCAATAAGATATATTAAAATTTATTAAGATTTATTTTTGCGTTGATTTTTGGTCGTTTTGACCATTCTCAAGAGTCTGAAGCTCATCAGTCAAGTGTAGGACCACTTTGAAACTTTTGAAAGGTGTGAAACAGACCAGGATTCAAAACTTTGCATTCACAGAATTTGAATTTTTTTGGACATTCCTTTTTTCCGATTTCTGTAAGACACCATTTTTTGACCAGTTATTGTACTGAAAATCTGAAAAATCAGGTATCCTTCATGAATCGGCAAATATCTGGAAAACTAGGAAGTTTCCGAAAATTCTGTGAATGCAAACTTTTAACTCTAGATCTGTTTTACATCCGCCGAAAATTTTCAAAGTTATTGGAAATTTGACAACAAAGCCTCAGACTCCTGTAAATGCCGAAAATCAAATGAAAAATGCATTTTTGTATATATCATGGACCGGTACTGTACATGGTCTCAAAAAAAATGGCAGTATAAGTCTCCTTCTATTACAGGTTTTACAGTAATCATCCAAACTCAACGTTTTTCCAGCCCCCTCATAGTTATTCTCCTCACAATCACCCTCCTCTGGTTCATCTCAACACTTCTGGCCCTGGTTGTCGTCATTCGAGACCAAAAACGATATCTGCGATTTCATATCTGTCTTAATGTAAGTTACATTTACAGTAATCTATGTAGAAAACTCAAATTTCCAGACTGTGATCCTCTTCATCTACTTTGCGAAACTGATCGTCTTGTTTTTTTCCGACGAAACTGTCACAACCGTTTTTTGCATTTTTGTCAACTTCGTCAACTTTTTATCGGTTTTTCATGAGTTCAAACTTCTTGGGACTTTTTGAAAAAAATAATTAAAATAAAAAATTTATACAGTTGGTTATAGCTGCTTTTATGGATAGACATGAAAAAGAGTTCTAGAATGTCTGCTCGATTTGTGGATCTTGTTCCATTTGCTCTTCTGGCGTCAGCAATTCCACTTTTCGATATTGAATCACTTTTTCAAAGATGGGATACATCATTACACGACGACGAAGATCCATCGAATAGCGGAGTTTGTCAATGGAGATGATCAGAATCTTGTCGAGCTCTTCCATGAATCTTTCTGCATAGAAAATTTGAAAGCCTTGTTTTTTAAAATTGAAAATAGGATTAAACTTACCAAATGGTAAGCCTCGGAATTCGTCAAATTCCAAGAGGAGAGTCATAATTTCAACGAGAAAATATCATTAATAACTTTTTGATTGAGATAGAACAGAGAGAAATTGAGGGTGCCACGTGTAATTGAAATGTATGAATGGCTAATTTGAAGAATAATGACCCAGAAATTATGCATTTTCCAAGCTATTTGTTTTATTAATCATCGAAAAAAGAAAATACCGTGAAACCTGTAATAGAAGGACCCCTAACTTTACAATTTGAGCTAACTTTTCTGGATTCCTGTTAAAGATATAAAAACGTTGTCAACTGATAAATTGATATCTGGCACAGGAACCCAGATTAATTAGCTTGAACTTGACAGTGTGGGGGGCACTTTTTTTAAACAGATTTCATCAAAAAATGCGTTCGTTCGTTTTGCAATTTTGCCAAAATTGAATTCCAAATTTTGAAATTAAGAGATCAGTACCATAAAAAATTTCAACCATGAATAAACACTCCTAACCGGAAAAATGAATCTGAACAACTGAAAATTAGTATCAGACGGAAAAATGTTAATTTTTCAAATTTTTAGTCAAATTTTACCAAATTCTTTCGGCAGATTCGTCTAACTGCTCAACAATGCTTCCTAACCTCTCCAACTTTTCTCACACCTCAAAAACAAACACGTCATGTCCCTAGTGATCATCTGTATCTGTATTCGTACAAATCCTTGTGTATCCTTTTCCCACTTAACACATTAGGCAATAGAAGAAACAGGCTTTCTGCCCAACGAGGGAAATCTCATGGTCATTCATCCTAACACCTTCTCTTTTCGGCGATTTTTTCGTCTGCAGATGTTTAGCTTCTAGAACAGCTGCATCGTCTTTTTTTGTTTCGTTGGTTTCTAGCTACCAAACTTATTTAACAAACATCTATTACAGATGCTTCTTCCAATCGCTCTTATATTCCCGTTGATTTCCCTAGTGTCAACTGATTTTTCCCCGCATTTCCGGAAATTTCTACACGATAGTTATGGAATCGCAATAACCGATATGCTGGAGAGAACCGATTTGGGCATGGATGCGTCGTTTGGTGGGAAAGATAGTAGTGCAGATGTTCCGAGAAATCAGGCTGTTATCATTGTTCACGGAATCACTAATAAGGCTTCCAGATTTGCGGTGAGGGTTTCTTTTTTTTGAAAATCTGAAAAAATTCAGCTAAATAAAGTTTATTAAAGGTGTCAAAAATCCAATCAAAAACTTTTCTACTACTTCAAAACCTGTAATAGAAGGGCCTCTAACTTTGAACCAATTTTTCTCGGTTTCTAACAAAGATAGCAAAAAAGGGACAATTGACAAAATGTTTATCATAATATCATAAGTGTTCTATCAGTTGACAATGTTTGATATGTTGCATAGGAGTTGAGATAATTGAGCTCAAACTTGACAGTATGGCGACCTTTTTACTTTTACGGTATCCTCAAACATTTTGGAATCTTTAAAATTTTCAAATTGTGCTGAAACATTTTCTGAAAATTCAAATTAATAGAAAAGGTGCGAAACAAATTTTCCAGGGCACAGTAGCGTTTCTGAAATCGAAAGGCTACAAAAACGCAGAAATCTACGGTACAACATGGGGAGATGGTGGACGAATGCCAGTTGGATTAGTGGAGATGAAGTGTAACTATGTTAAACAAATTAGGTAAGTCTTAATTAGTCTTAATTACCCAAAAAAGATCAGGACAGATTGTAGGGAACATGCGAAATTGTTAGATGGAAAAGATGGACTTCCAAAATAAATACCACCGTAAAACCTGCAATATTAGGGCCTCAAATTTTGAGCCATATTATCTCGGTTCCTGTTAAAGATATCAAAAAGTTGTCAACTGATAAAATGTTTATCATAATATCACTAACATTTTATTAGTTAACAAATTTTTGATATCTCTTCCAGAAACCGAGATAAACGCGCTCAAAGTTGAGGGTGTCGGTTTTCAAATTTCTTCTATTCCAGGGCATACGGTATTTGTTGTTTTGGTATAAAATATCGTTGGAAAACAATGAATAATTGAAGTCTCAATGACAATTATCCCAAAATTTTGCAGAGCCATAATAATTGCAGTGCGAGAGTATACCGGACAACCGGTTGATGTCATCGGGTACTCAATGGGAGCTCCATTGGCAAGAAAGGCAATCCTGGGAGGACAGTGCGTGGACACCAGGGAGATTTTGGGTTACTGTTTTACTTTTTTGAAATCTAGTCAACCTTAAATCGCGTAATATACCGTAAACACTCTAATAGAAGGCCACCCAAACCACTAACTTTGAGCCCATTTATCTCATTTCTTTTGAAAGATATAAAAAAGTTGTCCATTGATGAAATGTTGGTGATATTATGATAACTATTTTGACAGTTGACAACTTTTTGATATCTTTTACAGGAACCGAGATATATCAGGTCAAAGTCGGCGCCTTAGGTGGCCTTCTTTCAGAGTGTTTAAAGGGGGACTCCGACCAAAAATTTTTATTGCATTAAAATGTGTTAAAAGTTATCTATTTTCCGAATATTATTGCGAAAAAATTTTTAAAAAATCCAAAATCCCCGAAAAACGGCGTTGAAAAGGAAGAAAATTCAAAAAAAGGTGCCGCCGGGGGACGAGGATTTTCAGTGAGAAACCTAGGCCACGGCACCTGACAACCTTTTTTTCAAGTTGCCGACAGTGGTTTTTTACGTTTTTTACCTGCCGGACATGAAATTGAAAAAAATCCGGGAAAATTGCCGGGGATCCTCTAGAGTCGACCTGCAGGCATGCAAG